CTACCGCTTGGACATAAGAGGATTGTCTAGTTTCAGTTGTATCCTTACACTGCCCCTGAATGTTTTGTAAGTCCGTAGCGTACTCTATTAAACTATAGTAATCCATCGTTACACTTGCAGCCGAAACGTGAGCTCCAAGTGTCCCGGGGATTGACATACACAACAGTTGTTTAGCCTTCTGACTAATTCTCAGGTCATCGTATCCTAATTCATGCCTCAAGTCACGCACTCTACGCAATATGCCAGTTCCAAAGTCTTTGAGAGTTTCGTTTGAGCCTCGTTTTAAACTAGCTAAATACCTATTAGCTGTTTCCTCTGTTATTTTCTCTTTATATCGTCTCTTAATTGCTAACACAAACTCTGGCCATGTTTGCAAATATTGAAACTCTTGGTCCTGCATTATTGAACCATTAGGGTCTATACACGCTCCTGCTGCTAAATTAATTTTTACCCAGTCATCCTGGGCAGCTGACAAACATGAACCTACTTGCCCTAGCCAGTCGTCTATTTTCCGGTTACGTTCCACTATATTTGTTGGTAATTCTTTGCAAATTAGTTTGGGTAACACTGGTCTAGGCAATGAGAATGATGACAATGGGGGCTGACGCATACCATGAGACGCAGGGGGCATGGAGTGTAGATGTTGGCAATGGTTAGGGAAGGGTTGGTAATGGGGAGGGAAGGGTTGGTGTAAGGTAGAGTTATAGTGATGGTCAGGTGGGGGGGAGGGTTGGGTGGGGTGGTGGTGTGAGGTAGGGGATTCTAGGGGTTGGTTCTGGGCAAGGCATGAGATGGTAGAAGAGGGTTTGGTCGTGTGACCAAGGTTGGGGTTGCGGGGGGGGAGAGGTGGGGTGGTATTGGTGGGGACAGTCACCTGACCGGACCCTTGGGTGGACCCCTGGGTAGGCGTATGTAAGCGCCCTGCCGTAAGGTTCACATATAGGGGTTCAGAGAGGCGCTTCCTAATTTCTGAGGATGGGTAAGGTGGGAGGGGGGGTGGTTGGGGAGGGGTATGTGGGGAAGGTGCAGGCCGCCGCGCCCCTGGGGTGTTGGGTTGGGAGGTCGGTCTGGGAGGAAGTGGGGGAGGGGTGATGTCATTAGGCTGCAGAGTATCAGGGGTGGACAAAGGACGGCTACCCAGCATGTGACCTGATGTGACCCCATCACCTGCACCTTGTGGATCGTCACCTGACTCTTGAACCGTGCTATCCACTTGGACAGCCTGTCTCGGCTGTATTGCTAGAAGGTTCTGTTGGCTAAGCCCTCCCTGACTCCTTAAAGCCCTATCTGAACTCATGATGCCAATAAACTACGTCTGAACGACTAGTTCACCGGACTAGCGCTGACCCAAAAATGTTGAAAAAAAAAAAAAAAATCTTTGGAACTAACAATGATTTACTGAGAACAAGACAAAAACTCACAACGTCGTTATAACTAGCCCCTTTACTTAACAAGGGTGGTAATTTCAATGTCACTTCTAAGACAAAACAAAAACGTAATTACTTTTCAATCTGCCTGCTCTTATGACAGATAATAATCGATATTACTTTCACCGCGTTGAGACAACTTCTCCTACGCGATACCAATACACAATTTCCCACGCACTATTCATTAACAATAATTCACTGATAGAAACTATTTGTACTTCCTATCGGGAAACTGTAATTACTGCTCGTATGAGCTTAACTCATAGTTACTTTTACTCCTTAAACCTACAGCCACATCACGTGACCCAGAGTGTTTTCCTAGCTTCTTCGCCGGTCAACAACTCAAAACTTTTGCCACTCCTGTGACCAGACTTCAAACGCCAGGCGTCCCTAGACGTGAGTCAACTGACACACTAGTCCACACTAGCATGCTGTACAATACCAGTACACCTCAGATTATCGCGTTCAATTGGAGTAAATCAGTCAATCGCGATAATTTGAACAGAAACACCGCTTAAAACTACTTAATAGCTACACCGAACGGCACAAGACGCGTGAGACTGAACACTGTAAAACAATGTTCACCACCGCTAAGCCACCATTGTAATGACCCTGAAGCGATACCTCGCCTTGTATCTATCTCGACCGCGCACTCCGCTACTACCACTGAGCTAACCGTGCAATCTCCGCTCTTTCTATGGTAATAACAGATGCTATACCGATCATATAAGATGTTAACACTCGGGCCGTCATACGAAGACGTAAACCAGTACACAGAGGAAGGAGAGAGAGAGGAAGAGGGAGGCAAAGCGAGAGGAGAGAGAGAGGAGAGCGAGAACGAGAGCAAGGGAGGGAGAACGAGAGCGAGTGAGGGCGAGGGAGAGTGAGACACTAGTGAGGGAGAGTGAGACAGAAAGATAGAGATAATCGTAGTCACAACCTATCGTATGAGTTACCGAGTGACGCTGCCACCACCCTGAGTTACCGGACAGGGGACCGGAGTGAGAGTCGTAGGTCTTGCAGATGGAGTAACCTACCAGGACAGGTGTAGGGGACAATTGAACGGTACAAGGATCCTGGCCTGACACTCGAATAATCCTGACCACTTGGGAACTATAGTGTACACAAGAATAAGGCGGGACACACCAACACTAATACCTCAACACGGAAGACGAACGGGGGGAGGAGTACTGAATAATTAAGAGCACTAGGTCACTAGGGCAAAGGGGACGGTAGGCCCAATATCACTAAAGCAAGGAACCATTAATACACATTTAATAACACTTAATATCTGACTTTATTTGAAATAATTAAATAAGACACTCCCTAACTATATTCCCTACTAGAGGCCAAGGGTACTGAATGAGGTGCTGTAGTACAAGAGAGCCGTACTTACTCGTATGTTGTTCCACAGTTTCCCTGGAGATGATGTTCTTTCCCAGAGTCCACACACACCTCCCTACTGGGCTGTGCCCACTCAACTGACTCTCCTGATCTACTGCTCCTCAGCTGAACATGAGGGTTTTGCATTTGTTGTTTAGGGGTTAATCCCTGAAGATTACCATGACGGCATCAATTCTGACCTCTTTGTGATTCGATGACCGTTGACCTGACTCTATGGCTAACTTATACAGAGGTGTAACTTTTACATTGTCTGCCGCCGCCTGTCTGGCGCCTGTGGGTTGTTCATCCTCCACGTGGCCTGTTCATGCTGTTATGATGTTCATGTACTATGTACTGCTCTCTTGTTACACAGCCACTCCTCCTCCCTTCCTAGTTTTCCTGTCACGTCTCCAAACTGAGTAGCCTCTTGGGAATATGACTTCATTTATTATATTTCCTTCAAGTTTCGTCTCCGATAATGCAACAATATCTGGGACCCTAAGCTGGATTATATCTTGCAACTCCAAAGTTTTTGACCTCACTCCATCTATGTTGGTATATACAATTTTCAGGAACATGTTCCCTTTTCCTTTGCTCTTTACTCCCCCTTCCACTACTGATCTTGTTGCTTTGTTTTTATGTACCATTTCACAAGCTTTCCAGTCCCTGTCACTTTGTAAGAAAAAGAATTTCTGTCTTCTTCATTTCTATCCCCATTTAGACGTTTTGCCTCAATTAGGTTCATTTTCAGCTTTTCTCTGTCTTCCTTGGAGAGGTCTTGTCTTATTGACCAAAATTTGCCAACCTCATCACTCTGCAGTTTCCTGACATTTCTTAGCACTTCCATCATGTTTTTCACTCCATTAAACGTCACCCTTAAGGGGCGGTTCTTTTCTTTCTCATATTTTCCTATTCTTCTAAAATCACTGACATTTTCCTTTGAGCCTTCTCCTAAACCTACTATTTTCTCTATGATTTTCATCTCTTCTGCCGCTCGGTCCACCCTAGATGAAATTTCCTTTTCTAAACATCCAAAAATGATTATGGACTTAGTTCTATCTGCAGTGTTTTGTACCAGTTTACTGTTGGTAACCAGTTCTTTCCTAATTGCTTGCCTAATTTCTGCTTCTTGTTGGTCATTTCTGGTTTTGACTTCCGAACACACTTCTTTGATAGTCTCTTTCTCTTTTACAACTTCAGCATATGTCGCTTTTATTTCTTCTTTATACTTTTCTATTTCTTTATTCACCTCCTCTATGTGAGTTGTCAGTGAAGTTTCCAGTTGGAGATCCTTACCTAACTCTATGTTAGCCCTTAGGCTTGCTTGGAGTTGTTCACCATATGAGTCTATTTTCTTGTTTATTTCTTCAAAGTCACCACACTTCACTTTCCATGCCTCATTTTCTTTCACTAGTTCCTTGATTTGCTCTTCCTGATTTGTTACCTTGTCTGTTAATGCAGTAATAATCTTACCTTGTTGAAGCATACTCCGTTTTAGAGTGCAAAGCTCACTCCAAAGAGCTCCATTGTCCTCTTCCAATTTAAGCACTTTTTCTTCATACTTCTTTTGCATATCCTCAATTATCTCTAACCTGCCAAGAACACCTCCTTTCCTTATATCTTATGGTGAGAATCCTTTGAAACCATCATCTGTTGGTGTGTCTACATTCTCAGTGGGGGTGGTGGCGGCGGCCATCTTTGTTTTTGTTCTAGACCAAAACAAACTTTTCCACTCGGCTATTTTCACTCACTTTTACTTGTTTATTGTATTTTATTTGCTTTTACTCTTCCCTGAACCTTTATGTAACCTGGGACACCACTGTAGCCCTCAACCTGTGCCCAATACTTAGGTAATTCGATATTTCCAGGAGCTTGCTGCAGTGTGACTTTTGCCTCCTCCAGCTCACACACTGAGCTGTGTGTGTGTGTGTGTCTGTGTCTGTGTGTGTAAATTGTGAGGGTACCACCTCTGGTGCAAGTGTAGGGACCCCTAGCCTCGGAAAATAAAATAAAGAGTAGTCTGAGAAGTCCTTTAGTTTAAACAAATTATATATTTGTTTATAACAAATTATTATTTTTACAGGTGTATATCTATTCAACTCAGTCAGAATTGCAGTACTTAGTAAAACAAAACATTACGAATAACGCAGCTGTTTCTAATTCTAACATATTTCCTTGTGGTGTTGGCAGACGCTTGTGTCGACAGTGGGGCCGTGCTTCAGCCTGGTATTCTCCAGCCTCTTGCATACGCTGGGGTCCTCCTCCACCACTGTCGCCTGGATCTTCAACACCTTCAGTCTGGTATGGAACGTGACGGGACCGGTGGTGGGGCCGCTGACCAGCGAGTTGGGTCACAGGCGGGTCGCCATGGCCGGCTCCATTATGATCGCTGCTGCTCTCATTGCCTCATCCTTCGCCTCATCCGCCTGGCACCTCCTCCTCTCGTTCTCTTTTCTCGGAGGTATGAGTCGCTATAATTCCTCACACCTCTTAGCTTCAGGACCCTCCGTTTCACCCGTTTTCCTTCCACACCCTCCATTCGACAGCATCTCCCCCTTATCTTCGTGTGGATAGTGTAAGGGTACGCTATAAATGCTATAATCGATATAAGTCTAACGTGTATGAATACACTCTAGCTGCCTGTCCCCCGACACAATGAATTATTGTTATAATTATTTACATACCATCACCACCTGTAGTTTAGTGCCTCGTCCTGTTCCCACCCCCTTGTGTGACTCCTGGTCCTGTTCCCACCCCCTTGTGTGACTCCTGGTCCTGTTCCCACCCCCTTGTGTGACTCCTGGTCCTGTTCCCACCCCCTTGTGTGACTCCTGGTCCTGTCCCACCCCCTTGTGTGACTCCTGGTCCTGTTCCCACCCCCTTGTGTGACTCCTGGTCCTGTTCCCACCCCCTTGTGTGACTCCTGGTCCTGTTCCCACCCCCTTGTGTGACTCCTGGTCCTGTTCCCACCCCTTTGTGACTCCTTTGGTGGTACAGATACCGTATGTAAGACACGAATAGATTAACGAGTAGTATAATGAGAGGAGATGAGAGTGAGGAACATAATATCTGATTTTAGTGAGCATACCGAACGTTTTTTTTATAATTTTTTGACTATGTTGTATGTGGGTGCTGGAGTTGAGTCTCTTTATATATAAGCCAAGGGATCTTTTCATAATTTTTAATGCTAATGTTTACATTGCCTATCTGAAGTTGAATTTGCTTTGATGATTTGCTTCCAAATAAAATGTAGCAGATCTTTTTTATGTTTAGTGAGAGTTCGTTGGTTGATATCCATGAGTGGATTTTTTTTTAATTCGTTGTTAACAGTATTATTATAGTGTGGGGGTTTTGGGGTCTGAATAGATGAAGGTAGTATCGTCAGCAAATTGTATAGGTTTACGATTGTTAGAAACATTTGGCAAATCACTGTGGTATATAAGAAATAGAGGTCCTAATATGCTGCCATGTGGCACTTCTATGATTACCGGTAAAGTAGGGGAGGTTATGTCATTGACGGCTACATTTTGGTGTCTGTCACTGAGATAGGAACGAATATAGTTCAGAGCAAACCCTCTGAGTCCATAGTGGCGAGGTTTAAGTAAGAGGTAGTTATGATTTACAGTCTCAATGGCCTTTCTCAGGTCAGTGAAGAGGCCAATTAGGAACTCATTTTTGTCAAGATTATATAGCTGTGTAGATTATATTAAGCAGACAAATAATGGCATCATTGTTATTCTTTTGGGGACGATAGCCAAACTAGCAGGGACTTAACATGTTACATTTTACAAGGTAAGAGTAAAGCTGTTTATAAATATTTTTTCAAATATTTTTGATAGTATCGGTAGATTTGATATTGGTCTGTAATTGTTTATGTCAGCTGTCTCGCCTCCTTTGTGAACTGGCGTTACTCCTGTTTTTTTTTTAAAGATATCAGGAAAAGTATGACACTAAAGATTTGTTGAATAAGCTATAGGTGGTGCAAGGGCATAAGCAGCACTCTTATATACCATAGATGTTATTTTAATAATAATAATAATAATAATAATAATAATAATAATAATATTTTATTTAGGAAAAGTACATACATAGTTGCAGAGTTACAAACATTCTGATTATTTATAAGCAGAGCTAGTACATTCAAATACCTAAGCCACTAACACGCATAGCGTTTCGGGCAAGGTGTGGAAGAAAAAACTTAGACTAAAACTTAATAATAATTGAGCTTAAAGTATAAATTCGATTGAAAGAAAAAATAAAAGATAAAAAAGGAGGTACAAAATGGGGGGGGGGGTAGAAACATGGTACAAAATAGCAAATAAACAAGTTGGTCAACAAACAACGATATTGAATTTTGTAACTAGCTCATCAAGATTGTAACTTGCTTAGCTAAATGAATTGTGGGGTTCAGTCCCTGAGCCCATTACGTGGCTCTGTAACCCTTTCCACTACCGCCCACAAGATGGGTATGGGGTGCATAATAAATGAACTAAACTAAACTCAACAAACAACATTGTTTAAGAATAGTAAGACATGGGTTGACATTTAGGGGTAAGGTAGGTTACAGGGAGTTAATTAGGTAGTACTAGTTTTCATCTGAAACTGGTTGAGAGAGGTACAGCCTTTGACATGATTGGGAAGGTCATTCCATATTCTGGGTCAATTGATTTGTAGAACATTTCTAGTTTGATTAAGTCGTACTCTTGGAATATCAAATAGGTATTTGTTTCTGGTGTGGTGCCCATGGGCTCTGTTACAACCTTCTAAGAAGCTTTTAAGGTCAGGATTGACATTACAGTTCAGAGTTTTAAATATATAGAGTACACATGAGAGGATGTGCAGTGACTTAATATCTAACATATTCAGAGATTTGAGTAGGGGTACCGAGTGCTGTCTGGGACCAGAGTTAGATATTGTTCTGATAGCAGCTTTGTGTTGGGTAATTAGAGGACGTAAATGATTTTGGGTAGTAGAACCCCAAGCACAAGTACCATAGTTGAGATAAGGATAGATGAGAGAGTAATAGTGTCACCAGGGCAGGGCGAGGTACATAATATCTGATCTTAGAAAGAATGCCAACAGTGTTTGAAACTTTTTTTTGCTATATTTAGAATGTGTCCCTGGAAATTCAGCTTGTTATCGATGAGGACACCAAGGAATTTACCATCAACTTTACTACTGATTTGTATATTGTTTATTCTTAGAATAATTGCATTTGAGGATTTATTACCAAACAAAATATAGAAAGTTTTGTCAATGTTAAGGGTGAGTTTGTTAGCAGTTAGCCAAAGACGGACTTTATTTAGTTCAGTATTCACAGTGACATTTAGAGCAGAGGGTCAGGACTGGAGAAAATGAAAGTTGTGTCATCAGCAAATAAGATTGGTTTGAGGTGTTGAGAGACATTTGGAAGGTCATTAATGTAGATGAGAAAGAGGAGAGGGCCAAGTATGCTGCCCTGTGGAACACCAATGTTTATGGGTAGTGTAAGAAAAATGGAATTATTCACAGAAACATACTAGCTGGAGCCTGTCAGTAAGGTAAGACTAAAGGTATTGCAGGGAGTGACCTCTGACTCCATAATGATGTAATTTAAGAATGTTTTGGTGGTTGACAGTGTCAAAAGCGTTATGCAGGTCCACAAATAACCCAACAGGGAACTTATTTTTGTCAAGAGCTGTATGTATCAAGTTAATCATACTAATAAGTGCATCGTTAGTGCTTTTATTGAGTCTGAAACCATTTTGGCAAGAACTAAGTATATTGAGTTTGCCTAGATATGAGTAAAGCTGCTTGTAGATTAGCTTTTCAAATATTTTTGACAAGGTTGGCAGAATTGATATAGGTCTGTAATTGTTGACATCAGAGAGTTCACCACATTTGTGGACTGGGTTACTCTCGCTTTTTTTTAGAGTATCCGGAAAGGTTTGGAATTCAAGTGATTTATTGAAAAGCAATGTAATATCAGGAGCTAGAAATCTGAAAGCTTTTTTGTAAATTAGGGATGGTATCTCATCAAGGGCGCTTGACTTAGTTTTAAGGGAAAGGATTATCTCATTAACATCAGAGGAATTAGCGGGAGCTAGGTACAGAGACTCTGGATAGTTACTTGTAAGGTAGTCTTTAATATTAATGAGGGAGGATGGAATATCATGAGCAAGGGATGTCCCAATGGAAGAAAAGAACCTATTGAACTCAGTAGCAGTGTCTGAGGCCGAAAGCACACCATCGTCATTGGATAGGAGAATTTGTTTTTTATTCAAAATCTTTTTTGATCCTAATATTTGGGAGATAGTGCTCCATGTTTTCTCAATGTTGCCCTTAATTTGGGTAAATTTATTTTCGTAGTATTTTATTTTGGCTCTTCTAATTATTTTAGATAGCATTGATGAGTATTTTTTTTTTTTTGAGATATATACAAGAGTTGTTACATTCTTGTACAGCCACTAGTACGCGTAGCGTTTCGGGCAGGTCCCTGGAATACGATCCCCTGCCGCGAAGAATCGTTTTTTCATCCAAGTACACATTTTACTGTTGCGTTAAACAGAGGCTACAGTTAAGGAATTGCGCCCAGTAAATCCTCCCCGGCCAGGATACGAACCCATGACATAGTGCTCGCGGAACGCCAGGCGAGTGTCTTACCACTACACCACGGAGACTGCAAATATAGACAGCCAGTACAGGACTCGAACCTGTGACCTCCAGTTTGTACGTTTCCCGGAGCGATACGATGCTATCTGGCATCGTATCAAATCTTTGAAAATCCTTTCGAGACGATTCCTAATCTATACTTCTTCTCAAGGTCATGTTTTTTATTAATAGATTTAAGTATACCCTTTGTAAGCCAAGGAGTGTTTAACCTTTTATTTGTAACTTGTTTCGTTAGCATTGAACAGTGGGAGTTATAAAGGTTCAGAATTTTCTGAAGAAATGTTTGCACTGCTAGGTTGATGTTCACTATGTTACCTAATTCAGCCTCCCGGTTGAAGTTAGCAGCCGCAATAAAGTTGCTTTTAGAAGTTTCATTGTGCAGCCTAAAGCTTATCTTCCTTGTATCTAGAGGTGGTTTATTAATGTTGGTTAGGAGAAATGAGGGGTAATGGTCTGTGGTCCTATCAATGATTATCCCTGAAGTAAGTGGAGAGGTTCTGTTAGTCCAGATGTGGTCAAGAGCAGAGGCAGTACTATCAGTGATTCTAGTAGGCCTAGTGATTAAGGGTATGAGGAAGCAGGAATTCATACAGTTGAGGTAACTAGCAGCAGGAGGGTTATCAGGCTCACAGAGGTCAATATTAAAGTCCCCCTGCGATAATTAGATGGTTTTTGTTCAGTCTGTTATCTAGTATTAGATTTCTAAGTTTTTTTTTTTTTTTTTTTTTTTTTTTTAGATATATACAAGAGTTGTTACATTCTTGTACAGCCACTAGTACGCGTAGCGTTTCGGGCAAGTCCTTGGAATACGACCCCCACGAAGAATCGTTTTTACAACCAAGTACCCATTTTACTGTTGAGTTAAACAGAGGTTACAGTTAAGGATTTGCACCCAGTAAATCCTCCCCGGCCAGGATACGAACCCATGACAAAGCGCTCGCGCCAGGTGAGTGTCTTATATATCACTATATAAACGACTAATAATGGAAAACAAACTAAATAAATAAATTATCAATCTTTTAGGGTATTTATCTGGCTAGGGTATTTACTTTCAAAGCACATGTGAACTGATTCAGTCATAAAGGATCAAATAACTCATTATAAAATCAGTAAGGGTCAGAGGGCAGATTTTTTTAGGGCATGTCTCTCCAGCCTGACATATCATTCTCCTTGTCATTATGAATACTGTTTCTCAGTTACTGCATTATACTGTGGGATAGGCTTCTAAACACACCCGACTGGTTTTCTACTAAATTGAAACTAAACATGAACTGTAACCAAATATTGGCCACGTGTAGCTAGGCCTCTTTCCCTTTTCTCTAACTCTCTTCCTTTATATTGCATTAAATGGTTATAATTGTACTGTATTTTCTACGATTTTTTTATATTGACAAGTATCTGACAAATATAATTCATGGCAGGTATTGGAGCGGGCCTGATAGTCACCACCAGCATCTTCGTCGTCCCTGTTTACTTCACACGCCGTCTTGGCCGAGCCAACGGTATCCTTATGGCTGGCACCAGCGTCGGCCAGTTCATCGCACCTCATTTAATCATATTCCTACAGGAGAAATATGCATTCATGGGAGCCACGCTCATCCTTGGTGCCATTATGCTCAATACATGTGTGGCTGTAGCAACTTTTCATCCTGTTAAGTGGCACACTCGTCGCTGTATTTGGGAAGCTGGAAGATCTGTCTCCGGGAAGTTAATGGCTCAACAACATACCTCCAGCGTTACGTTCAAACTTATAAGTAAAAATCAAAAAGCCAAAATAATATCCCAGAATATGAGCGCGGCCAAAAGAAACTCTGGAACAATGAGCGGATTTCTCTCACGTGTTGCTCAGTCAACAATTCACAACCTACACATCCTCAAATCACTTCGTGCTTTAATCATTGCTGTCAGCAGCACACTAGTCATCAACGGGTATTTAAACTTCATTATGATGGTGCCTTTCATGATTCAAGCTATGGGCCACTCTCCCCAGGCAGAAGCTTGGTGTGTGTCTGTGTCTGGGTTATGCAGCCTCGTCACACGCCTCGCTGTCTCCACCCTCACTGAGTGTTCCTGCTTTAACATGTACGCCTGTTATGTCACCGGGATCTTCGTCATTGCTGCCTCTAGTTTAGGTGAGTTACACAGTAGTCCTTCTAGTTTTTAATATAATATAATATAATATATATATATATATATATATATATATATATATATATATATATATATATATATATATATATATATATATATATATATATATATGTGTGTGTGTGTGTGTGTGTGTACTCACCTAGTTGTGATTGCGGGGGTTGAGCTCTGGCTCTTTGGTCCCGCCTCTCAACCGTCAATCAACAGGTGTACAGGTTCCTGAACCTATTGGGCTCTATCATATCTACACTTGAAACTGTGTATGGAGTCAGCCTCCACCACATCACTTCCTAATGCATTCAATTTGTTAACCACTCTGACGCTAAAAAAGTTCTTTCTAATATCTCTGTGGCTCATTTGGGCGCTCAGTTTCCACCTGTGTCCCCTAGTGCGTGTGCCCCTTGTGTTAAATAGCCTGTCGTTATCTACCCTATCAATTCCCTTGAGAATCTTGAATGTGGTGATCATGTCCCCCCCCCTAACTCTTCTGTCTTCCAGCGAAGTGAGGTTTAATTCCCGTAGTCACTCCTCGTAGCTCATACCTCTCAGCTCGGGTATTAGTCTGATGGCAAACCTTTGAACCTTTTCCAGTTTAGTCTTATCCTTGACTAGATATGGACTCCATGCTGGGGCTGCATACTCCAGGATTGGCCTGACATATGTGGTATACAAAGTTCTGAATGATTCTTTACACAAGTTTCTGAATGCCGTTCGTATGTTGGCCAGCCTGGCATATGCCGCTGATGTTATCCTCTTGATATGGGCTGCAGGAAACAGGTCTGGCGTGATATCAACTCCCAAGTCTTTTTCTTTCTCTGACTCCTGAAGAATTTCCTCTCCCAGATGATACCTTGTATTTGGCCTCCTGCTCCCTACACCTATCTTCATTACTTTACATTTGGTCGGGTTAAACTCTAACAACCATTTGTTCCACCATTCCTTCAGTTTGTCTAGGTCTTCTTGAAGCCTCAAACAGTCCTCTTCTGTCTTAATCCTTCTCATAATTTTGGCATCGTCCGCAAACATTGAGAGAAATGAATCTATACCCTCCGGTTGATCATTTACATATATCAGAAACAAGATAGGATGTGTGTGTGTGTGCATTAAATAAGGCATTAAATATGCCAAAACTAGAAGACAAGAAAAAGAGGTGACATGATCACTACGTACGAAATAGTAACCAGAATTGATAAAATCGATAGGGAAGATTTTCTGAGACCTGGAACTTCAAGAACAAGAGGTCATAGATTTAAACTAGCTAAACACAGATGCCGAAGAAATATAAGCAAATTCACTTTCGCAAACAGAGTGGTAGACGGTTGGAACAAGTTAGGGGAGAAGGTGGTGGAGGCCAAGACCGTCAGTAGTTTCAAAGCGTTATATGACAAAGAGTGCTGGGAAGACGGGACACCACGAGCGTAGCTCTCATCCTGTAACTACACTTAGGTAATTACACACACACACACAAACAGGAAGAAGTCCGTAGCAGCTGTCTAACTCCCAGGTACCTATTTACTGCTAGGTAACAGCTAGGGGCATCAGGGTGAAGAGATTCTGCCCATTTGTTTTACCGGTGCTGGGGGATTGAGTTGTCCACTCTAAGACCAGGTCTAGTCTAGATGGTTGGTCACCACTCCTCCTTGCTTCCTTTCTGACATGTTGCACCAAGAAGTTCCTCTCTACTACTTCTACAAGCTTTGCTCTCCACTTTTCTTGCTACTCAGTTCTTGTTACTTAGTAGCCTCCATGTATCAAGCTTCCTTAGATCAACACCCAAACATATACTATTATTAGCTAACAGTATATATTTTAATTAAGGTAATAGTTATATACTATTATGTTAATTAATCCATTTATTGTCTATTAAATCATGTCTTGCAGCTTTCACGTATCTGACGAACATAACGTGGCTGATGGTGACGATGGGGGTGTGGGGCTGCGGCGTGGGGGCCTTCGTCGGCTTGTACAACTTAGTCATTATCCACTACATGACAGTTGGTAACCTCCCGCCCATGTTTGGCGCCGCGAGCCTCCTCAATGGTCTGGGCTTCATCTCCCTAGGCCCGCTGCTCGGTAGGTCCTGCACCCATCCTCACAGGTTCTCCTTGGAATAATATGTTCTCAGTTACATCATATGTAATTGTAAAGTAATTTGTGGTCTAACAAAGCTCCACGTTTGTCACTGACATGGTAAATATTAGTTTTATTATATTTTATTTGTTATTTTACAATTTATACAAATTAATAAAAGGAGCTTCAAGCTTACATCCATTTTTCTCAGATCTGAAATATGATCATTTGATTTTCTCATTATATTTTATATTAAATTAAGTAATGCAGGGATTCGAACCCTCTACCTGGGTACTCCCAAGCCGCGCGCCTTACCTCTGTACCACAACATGGTATAAGTTACACAACCTGGGATTCAACTGAATCTAGGTTGTATAACTTATACCGTGTCGTGGTCCAGAGGTAAGATGCGCGGCTCGGGAGTACCCTGGTCGAGGGTTCGAATCCTCCGTATTGCTCCAATTGATTCTCTCATTGATATATCACGCTAATAGGATTTCCTTGTGTATAAAATATAAAAGCTACGAATACAGTATCAATTGATAACGTCACTAAGTTGGATCGTGAATTCGGGATACAAAGCTCCACGTTCATCACTGGCATAGTAAATAAGGGAATTCGGGATTAAGGACGGATATCCGCAGAGACTTTCTGGAGTAGCAATATATAGTGTGAAGTATACCCGCGCAATTGCTCACCAATATGCTTTCTGAGAGAAGTGGACGTGGGGGGTGGCGGGGTGGGGGCGAAGGGGAGTAAGTGATCGGGGATGTGATGAGATGTTCCAGTTTCTTAATGAGAGAGAGAGAGAGACCTCCACCTGAAGGACTGTCCTTCCCTTAAGGACACACACACACACACACACACACACACACACACACACACACATAATCCGCATACATTGTTGCAGGGTTTGTGAAAGACGTGAGCGGTAGCTATGCAGTGAGCGTGTGGGTGTTGAGCAGTACCCAGTTCCTGTGCGTGGGCCTCTGGCTTCTCATGCCTTGGGCAGTCACCTGGGATAACACCAAGTGCACCAAGTCCAGTCCTTCAGGTGGTTAACTTTATCAATTATTGAATACAGATATACAATTTTATCAAATTTCCTTCAAGATTTAATATTAATAATAGTAATTTTTATTAAAGCAAAAGTACATACAACATACATAGGATATAAGAAGATCGTATGTATCATGGGTAGGGCAGGTACTATATGCCTGAAGCCACTATAATACGCAGGGCGTTTCGGACATGATATGAGAACAAATCTAAGACTTAAAACTAAATGAGATAAAAAACGATAATGAATTGAAGTAGAGGAATAGATATAAAGTGACACTTATTTCATAATGATTGGAACAGCAAACATTGCAACAGAACATACTAATTTTACAGCAGAAACAGAAAGAATATTTTTTGTTATTAAATATTTACATGGCAGATAACAGCAGTAGTAGTTTCAGTAATTAATGTTCAAAAACAGCAAAGCATAGGTTGATATTTAGGAAGTAAGGTAGGTTACATAGAGTTTATCAGGTAGTTCTTAGTTTCTCTTTTAAACTGCTTGAGGGAAGGACAGTCTTTGATGTAATTAGGGAGGTCATTCCAGAAGGACCCCTTTATTTGCAGAGCATTTATGCTTTGGCTAAGTCGAACTCTTGGAATATCGAACAGTTATTTGTTTCTGGTGAGGTGTCCAAGGGTTCTGTTACAACCCTCTAGAAAGCATTTATAAGGTCAGGATTAGCATTGCAGTTCAATGTTTTATTTATAAATAGTACACACGAGAGGATGTGTAGTGACATAATTATATATAAATATTAACTATTAATTAAAGATTTAAGAAAGGGGACCCAAATGCTGTCTGGAGCCTAAGTTTGTTATTGCTCTAATCTCTGATTTGTGTTGAGTAATTAGGAGTTGTGGATAATTTTGAGTAGTGAAACCCCAAGCACTGATACCATAGGTGAGATAAGGATAGATGAGAGAGTAATAGACCGTCACCAGGGCAGAGTGAGGTACATATTATCTGATTTTAGAAAGAATGCCAACTGTTTTACAAACTTTTTTTCTACATTTGGTATATGGGACTGGAAATTCAAGTTGTTATCAATGAGAACAACAAGGAATTTACCATCTCCTATGTTACTAATTTGGATATTGTTAATTCTCAGGGTAATTTGATCTGTGCATTTATTATCAAACAAAATATAGAAGGTTTTATCAATGTTAAGGGTAAGTTTGTTAGCAACTAGCCAAAGATGGACATATTTTTAGTTCGGTATTCACTGTGTCATTCAGAATAAGAGGGTTAGAACTAAAGGAAATGAAGGCTATGCCATCAGCAAATGTTGTGGTGCTTAATAAGCAAATTGAAAGGTATTTGGAAGGTCATTGATGTAAATAAGAAAGAGGAGAGGGCCAAGTATATTGCCCTGTGGATGGCGCATCAGTGTTATCTTGAGGTTATCTTGAGACGATTTCGGGGCTTTAGTGTCCCCGCGGCCCGGTCCTCGGCCAGGCCTCCACCCCCAGGAAGCAGCCCGTGACAACTGACTAACACCCAGGTACCTATTTTACTGCTAGGTAACAGGGAAATTGGGTGAAAGAAACTCTGCCCATTGTTTCTCGCCGGTGCCCGGGATCGAACCCGGGACCACAGGATCACAAGTCCAGCGTGCTGTCCGCTCGGCCGACCGGCTCCCTAAGCCAAAGATGGACATATTTTTAGTTCGGTATTCACTGTGTCATTCAGAATAAGAGGGTTAGGACTAAAGAAAATGAAGGCTATGCCATCAGCAATTTTTGTTAGGGTGGGAAAAATAGCGTCATTCTGAAGCCTGTCACTGAGGTAAGTCAGAGTGTACTACTTGCCGGTAGTACAGTTGGGTTCGTTCTTTACTCACAATCCAGAATTTCGGGTTCGAATCCCAGGCGGGACAAAAATGGTTGGGCGCGTTTCCTTTCACCTAATGCGCCTGTCCACCTAGCAGTAAATAGGTACCTGGAAGCTAGTCAGCTTGTTGTGGGGTTGCATCCTGGGAAGGATCAGTAATTCGACCCTGTGGGGGGGGGACCTCGATATAATCCTAACGTGTATTGTATGTATATCCTAACTTCCTGTCCTCCGACACAATTAATTGAATTATAACTCCCCCACTCTACTATTATCTGCAGTAGTGCCACAGGGCAGCATCTTGGGACCTCTCCTATTTCATATATGAGAATTTCTATTATTCCTATTCTTATATGAGGATTTCTTTCTTTCTCACCCACGCCACCTCCAAGACAACCCCGCCTCAGGATAAAATACATACACCGATCTGGAAGAAACGCGACCTGACAGTCGACGAACGCAAATACAACTCACAATGCTTTTTGAAGACTGGAAAGCTGGGTACAAAGGTTCAACGTCCATAAGGCGTACTAGCTTGGACATGAAGGTACCTGAATACGTCATCGACAGATATTACCACCATGCATCGCTACAATCGGAACTCCTTCCAGAAGAACGCAAGAAATATCCACCAGGCCACCCTAACTACCACAGATGACCAGTGGAACACAGAATAGAGATTATATTTGACTAATTAGCTCCCCTAATTACAATTAATATATCTTCCTACAACTAATTACAATTAATATATCTTCCCAACCTGTTGATCAGTTTGGTAAATTGAGAAATTTGTACTCTAAGCCGTTGACAGCAGATCGTAATCAGTCAAACTACAAGAGTGGTTCAGTACAGACGCTCTAGATTCAACACCAGGAACATTCACCAGGAATAATTTAATACTCATTGAGTGTAGTTCCTCCTCTCAAGACGCTACAGACTCGTACCAGTCTGGCCGGACAACCAGATTTTGGCCGCATCGAGCTTCCACGCTCTCGCCCCTTATTCGAGCTACACGAACTCTTCTCGCATTCCAGCTCCACGCTCTCGTCTCGCATTCCAGCTCCACGCTCTTGTCCCGCATTCCAGCTCCATGCTCTCGTCCTACTTTCAAGCTCCACGCTCTTGTCCCGCATTCGAGCTCCATGCTCTCGTCCCGCATTGCAGCTCCACACCCTACGTTCTCACCCCGCATCCGAGCTCTCTGTACCCCTGGCCTCACTCCAGCTCTCTGCCCTGCTCCAGGCCTCGTTACAGCTATCACAACACGCCATTACATTACCAGCAACCGACTGCTGAAATAAAGCTTATATTAAATAAATATAAAAAAACATTAAATTTTTTGTTTAGATGTTTTTTTATATTTATCTATTAAAGTCTTTGCTACCGTCCAACCACTTGGGCTGGACGGTAGAGCGACGGTCTCGCTTCGTGCAGATATAAAAATATATTCGTGTTATATAAAAAAAACACATTAAATTTTGTGTTTAATGTTTTTTACATTTATTAAAGTCTTTGCTACCGTCCAACAACTTGGGCTGGACGGTAGAGCGACGGTCTCGCTTCGTGCAGGTCGACGTTCAATTCCCGACTATCCAAGTGGTAGGACACCACTCCTTTTCCCTGTCCCATCCCAAATCCTTATCCTGAACCTTTCCAAGTGCTATATAGTCGTAATGGCTTGGTGCTTTCTCCTGATGGTTCCCTTCCCTTGTCACACAAATACGTACACGTAAACGTATGTTACAATTTGTTAACCCCATGAGCACCACACTCTTTGATATCCCTAGAGTCGGACTAAATCTGTGTAAACACTCTATGCAAATAAAAGGACCCAGTCTACGAAACTTACTCCCTAATGTATTAAAAAGTTGTCCAACCTATGTTTTATTAAAAAAGTCAAGCAAAAAAAAGTTTCAAATTATATACCCTCATAGTTTCCTACCTTGTGATTCAAACTCACAATGTATCTTGCGCTACCAATCACCCAATTTGAGTACTAAAGACATGCAACATCATCAGTATAATCAATAAAATAAATTTTATGTTTAGAGTCCCGGTAGTACAGTCGGGTACGTTTTCGACGCATTGATTTTTTTTTTATTGTTGCCGCCAGAGGCGGCTAGTTTATTGTGCACCCCATACTCATCCTGTGAGCGGTAGCGCAAAAAGGATTACAGAGGGCACAAAAGGTCTTTATCAGACCTCAACGGATATTATTACATTAGCAATTTCATCTGTCCTTCACACCTTATAATTATAATGCCAGCTAGTTACAGAGAATGTTCTATTTCAAGAGCTATAAATTTACAGTTATTATACATTAACTGTAGGTCTTATTACTAATGCATAATTGTTTGAGTTATGGATATATTACAGTCATAGGGGGCGCTGTTGTTTGTTATTATTATTCTTCACAATAAGTTAAGATAATGTTTATTTAGGTAAAAGTATATACATTCAAAATGAGTTGCAAACATAATGTTGGATTTATAGATAGAGCTAGTACATACTATATATGCCTAAAGTCACTAATGCGCACAGCGTTTCGGGTAATACTTAACTTCTTAATCTCATGTCGTTTATCTACTGGAAGCGATTTAAATATGAATACAGTGCAAGGGTTTTAGGTATTTTATCCTTAGTAATAAGATGGTTTGCCATTTCATACGTGAGATTAGATTTATACGTGAATTTAGAGACAATTCTATAACCAATGTTCCAACAATGTGTAAATATTTCATTCAAAATTATCTGCTACCAGAAATTTTAGCCAAATATCCCCAGTTTACTAACTGTAGGTACTAACTAAGTGATTGTAACCTATCCACCGCTGCCCACTGGATGGGGGGCGGTGTGCAGGACAAACATATCAATTGTGACACTAGCTCTCCACATATGTCAGTTGTTTAATTTAGAAACTGTACTTGTGGTCGATCTCGAACCCATTGTTGATGTGACGACTTATATTGAATTTTGTAACTAGCTCATCAAGATTGTAACTTCCTTAGCTAAATGATAACCCTTTCCACTACTGCCCACAAGATGGGTATGGGGTGCATAATAAATAAACTAAACTAACTAACTAAACTCTCTATATTGCTAAATTTTAGTACGGTCTAAGATATAATGCTCTAGTGTGTGTCCCTGTTTTTGTCCACACACTTTGCACTTTACTTCATCTAGATCCATATACAAGCCGAACTGCCAGAGATACTTGTAGCCAAGTATTATTCGAGTTGTGAAAATGTCTGTTAGTCTGTTGATTTTGCTACTTGCCCCATACACAAGTTTTACTTCACACATTTCATTATGATAAACAATGAATCTGCTAGTTCCAGTTTGTACTGTTCTGCTTTCTTCAAATTCATTCAGGAGTTCTCGTCTAATAACACTTTTAATTGACCTATTTGATAACTCAAGATTCTGTTCAACACTGTTTTTATTTACTGCAGCCTTAGCAAGGGCGTCAATCTTATTATGATCCTGCAGGCGAATGTGAGAAGGAATCCATAACATTTTTATATTTACCACCCTTATTAAGTATGTGTCTGTCTGGCTTCGGAGACAAGCACGTTAATACATGCACAATTGAGAATTCCGGGTTCTAATTCCGGGCGGAACCGAAATGGTTGGGCATATGTCCTTTCACCTAATGGATCTGTTCACCTAGCAGTAAGTAGGTACTTGCCAACCTGTCCTCTTACAAAGAACGTCGCATTTCGATCGTATGCGTTACATAAGACCACAAATTTTCATACATGAAAATTGAAGTGGCTCGCGAAAGTGACATACTGTCCCGTTTTATGTTTTGGGCCTTCTGGTAGGTTAGGATAAGGGCATTTTAAGTTCTGTAGATGCGACTGGGGTGACGGTGTTAACCTGAGTAGAGGTACTAGGGGAAGCTCGAAGTACTGCACCTGCGGGATCCACAATAAGTCGATGGTGTTGCAGGAAATCCCATCCAATAATGGGTTGTTCCACATCCGCTATGAGGAAAGTCCAGGTAAAGCGACCCAGAGAGGCGAAATCGAGAACCAGGGTGCAGGTCCCATATGTACGGACGGACGTACTGTAGCGAGTAGATTATCCCAATAATATACTCGCTCCAAATATAGTGTTAATATTCCTGTCAACCTTTGGAGATGAATGAGGTGAGGCGTTGCCCGGGCAACACGGTGAGGTGTTGCCCGAGCAATATAAGCAGCAAGAATAGCAAACATTAACTAGTCTACTTTCACGTGTGGTCTAGAAGCAGACACTTGCGAGATACTGTACCAACGCTCAGTGCGCTTAACTCACACCAACGTATCACCTGTGTACTTCTGTATATTCGACCAAATATATATATAGTATCTTAGTGTCTGTGTTTATTTGTCACCATACTTTACGTAACAATAGAACCGTTACATTGGTGACCCCAGAGAGTTTCGACGATACCCAGCCACGATGGACTACAAC